TAGACTTCCTGCCGGCCGAGTTAATGGTCGCCTGTACCATCCCCATACTGAGTGACCACCGAGCAGCCGCAGCAACTAGGGGCTGCCTCGTGGGCCAGGTTTCTCAGCTACCTTCTTGAGCCTTGGTGAGGAAGGGCAGGACAACCCGCGAGTGCAGCGTGCTTCAGATTCCTACGAAGGATTATGAAGAAATGAGAAAGATTTCATTTGAAGGCTCTCTTTTGTTTGAAGAGCGCTAGGGATGGGGGGGGGGTGTCCCTGAAAAGGGAACACTTGAATTTCTTTGAAGTACTACGTGTATCAAGTTATTTTAAGTCTTTAGGAAAGTGCCTAGATGATTCCTAAAAACCACTTTATGTGAAAGTAACCAAACTTAGTTTGAGCCAAATTTAGTTGGAGCTTAGTTTAAGTGTTAGGTAAGTCCAGACACTGCTTGGACTTAACACACAGTATTTCATTAAATGACCACAAGGACATTTAGGTGGGAATTGTTACTGTTCCAGTTTTAAAGACGAAGCACAAAAAAGAAGAAAGATGCCCAAGGATATTTTAAAGGCTGAGCCAGGGATTCTAACCTTGGCAGTTTGACTTCAGCCTAGGTCTGTAACCTAACATTACAAAAGTAGATCTTGTTTGAAGAGGTACTTGAAGTTAATATTTGCACAAACCAAAATATTATCTTAACAATAGCTATTTTTAAAAATGATTGTTTTAACTATATGTTAGGAAGCATTGAGAAGCCAATAATCATTTGTATAGATTAAGACTTTTTAATCTTTTTTATTAATTTGCATAGGGAGAAAACTATACGCCTCCTTAATTATGCAGTTGATTATTTGCTTAGTAACTTTCCACGTAAGATAATGTCAGTGAATCCCAAGTATGGTGGGTGAGTGTACACTTCATTTGGGCTCCTGTCGCAGGTTAATGGACTCTTCCCTCTTCTACTTATTTTCATCCTTGTTTATATTTTGTTATCGTCGTAGTTCTTGTCAGAAGACGGGAATGCAGTATTATAGTTGATTCTTTGGGGATCCTCTTCCTTTAAGATTTGTGGGGGTGGAATGTAGTTGCCTTAACTTCCTCTTTTTAGTGCCCATAACGATAAGTTTTGGGCCTTTGGGTTTTTTTAAAGAATTTTATTGGTAATTATAAAGCCATTGAATTATAAATAACAAATATAGGGAAGTTAGTATCTAGAATCTCATATTGTTATAATGGTGGCTCTGGATTCTTATTTCATAACTTCTTTATACCCCTCTCTCATCTTTGATTTTCTTTCTTCCCAGAAGTGTAATCCAGGTAGACAGCAAAGATTCTTCCTTGCCTCAAATGGAAAATATACATTTCTAAATATACTACCTGTTCTGATAGCCCTTTCCCCTTATACATTCATTTCTTCATAGACTTTGGAAATAGACATTCATTTCTTCATAGACTTTAGAAATAATGAAGTACAACTTACTGAATTCAGTAAGGTAAACGCTCTTTTGTGGTCTCCAAAAGCACATGAAAGCAGGACTGGGAATTTTATACCTTGTCCTATTTTTACTGTCTTTGTAATTCAAACTAAAATTTCACAAAACAAAGCTTAGAAGGTGTAGTCCAAGGGTTATAGAGTCAATACTGAAGAAAGCAAGGATATAAACTCGAGTGTCAGAATAAGTGAAATACCTTAGGAAATAGTGGGAACAGAGTTAAACCTGGGGTAAATGCCCTCCATGAAAGAAAAATAGTGCCAATCCAAACCTGACTGGGTTGATTTGGTAGACAGGCTGTGAATTTACTACCTTGTATATAGCAATTTTGTTAACTATATCTACTAGGCTATATCACATGTAATAGATTAGGGCAGTAGATTTAATATTGAAATAGAAATTACTCATGGCTAGTCAGCATCCTAAAGTCCTTCCTGTGTGTATGGTTGGGGGTGGAAGGGAGATTACCCATTAAGTTAAAATTTCCACTTTAAAAGCAAAGCTGCAAAGTTTCTCCCTCTTCCTTATCCCAGCAGAGCCACATTCTAAGTACATAATTTAGGATTGAGCAGGTAGATTCTCCCTGCCATTTCCCCATTGTGCCTAGGGCTTTTGAATCCAGGGAAAATAAAGCAAAGACTCAGAAAGAGTATAGGAGTTTTTCAGGTCATTAGAAGAATACACATACAGTATTACAAGGCCAGTGGGGGGTGGGGGTGGGGGGGTGGGAGGGGTGGGGAGCAGGCTGGTGACAAGCCAGTGGCAGGATCCATATTAATCCTTAGTTTCATTCTTTGATATTTTCTCTTGCTGCTTTTATTTTCCAAGCCTGATTTGCTAGCCTTCCTATATAGTCTGTGAGCAATTGTCACAATAAATTCATTTTCTACTTAAAGTTGGTTTTAGTTGTTTGCAACCAAGAACTCTGTTATGGGCTAAATTATGATCTCCCAAATTCATGTTTGAGTCCTAGCCCCTATTAACTCACATTGTGCTTGTATTTGGAGATAGGACCTTTCAAGTGATTAAGTTACAATGGGGCCATTTGTATGGGCCCTAATCCAGTCTGGTGGCCTTATAAGAAGAGGGAATTTGAACACACAAAGAGACAACTAGAGATGCATGTGTACAGAGGAAAGAGACATAGCCAGGAGGCAGCAGATAGAAGCCTAAGAAAAGACCATCCCTCCTGAGACCTTGATCTTGAACTTCTAGCCTCCAGAATTATGAGAAAATAAATTTTTGTTAAGACACCCATTCTATGGTACTTAGTTATGGCAGCCCTAGCAAACTAATACAAACTCTGACTGATAAAGGGCCAAACTATGCTGCTGGGTAGTGAGCAGAAGTAAGACTCATAGTTTGTCTAAATAAATTCTGTCATAAAAGTGAGACCAATTTGGCCATATAAATTGCTGATCCATTTTAGGGGTTGAGGTAGTACATATTAGAAAGTATTTCAATTTAAATATTGAATGCTTAAAAATTCTTCTGACATGTCGGCAGTCTTCTTTAAGACATTTTCCCTCTAAAATACACTATTATAAAAGATTAGCCAATGTTTCAGTAGAGCATGTAAAATCTCCTTTCCCTTGTCAGTTTGAGTTTGAGTACTGTAAACTTTCACTTCAAGCTACACTGACAAAATTTTAAGTGGGTGACTTAAGTGGGTGATTCTATTTGAAATATTTCTTGGTGCCATTATGATAATAGTTATTATGGCATTTGTCAATAAATCAAGATGTACAATTTCCAAATATTTTTTGCTTCACTGAAGCTAAGATCATTTCCATGATTCCAATCATGGAAATGATTGGATTCCAACCATGTCATTTCCCTAATAATAATTTTCTGATGGTTTCACATGTCTTTTTGCATTCAACACAGGGGTTCCATGTCTTCCTCAGGCCAATTACCTCTACTTTTTATCTTGTTATTTAGTTTTTACTTCTCGTTTTAGGCCAACTTTTCCTATTCCCCATTCCCATACTCCACTCACGACTCTCTTGTGCTTTAGAACTTTTCATAGTTCTATAGAATATTTATATATAAACCCAAACAAAAACTACTGTCTACATCTGGTATCATGAGAAACTGTAATGAGTCATCAGTGATTCCTTTTTCAACCTCCAAATTCAGTCAAGTCCTAGTTATTCTATCTCTTAAGTATCTTTCAAATTATCTTCTTCCTACCTCACTACCTGATTTCAGAGCCATATTTTTTTTTGCTTGGATTATTCCAAATGCCTCTTAACTTGTCTTTCATGCTCTAATTTCTTCACAATGTATTACTCCAAAAGTAAGTTATCTAATCTATGAATTTGATAGTGTCACCCTATTTCTTTTTTTAAATTTCAAAGTATTGAGGGGGTACAAATGGTTTTGGTTACATGCATCAATTTTATAATGCTTGAGTCATGGCTATAAGTGTGTCCATCACCCAAATAGTGCTCATTGTACCTGTTAGGTAGGTTTTTGCCTCTCCCTTCCTCCCCATTCCCTCCTGCTTGATTTCCACTGAATTTGACATTCCTTTGTGCATATGTGTGCTCATCCGTTATTGCTAATTTAATAGCAATTACATGTGTTTATTTTTCTGTTCTTTGGATACTTCACTTAGGATAATAGTTTCCAGTTCTATCCAAATTGTGCAAAAGGCATTAATTCATCTTTTTATGGCTGAGTGATACTCCATGATATACATATACTACATTTCATTAACCCACTCATCAATTGATGAGCACTTGGGTTGATTCCACATCTTTGCACCTTGAATTTTGCTGCAATAAACATTCGTGTGCAGGTGGCACCCCATTTCTTAACTTCTTTGAGGACTTCCCATGTACACACATACAGGTTTTTATTTTAAATTGATTATACTATAGTCATTTTCTTTTACATTGGCTATTATACTGTAGTTAGCAATAGTGTCATCTTTTCCCTGTAAGAAGCATAAACATTTTTTGTACATTTATAGTCTTAGAAGACAAAATCTAAACTCTATAAGGAATTTCTCCCTTCTTTGTAAATTTATGAACTGAGACTCGTGATTTTTCTTCTTTTTCCCATAACATTGCATATTTTCTTAAATGTAATAGGTGTTTAAGAAACATTGCAGTGGTTCTCAAATTATGCTCATATGGAAGAGTTCCGTAAGTTGGACTAGGATGATCTTCTACTATATTGAATTTACAGAAAGTCATGTTATTTTTTTCAATTTTAAGCTTTCTTCCCTCATACTTGTTCTTAAAAAATTAGTAGATTCTTAACATTTTTTTTTTTTTTTTTTTTTGAGACAGAGAGTGAGTGCCGTGGCGTCAGCCTAGCTCACAGCAACCTCAAACTCCTGGGCTCCAGTGATCCTTCTGCCTCAGCCTCCCGAGTAGCTGGGACTACAGGCATGCGCCACTATGCCCGGCTAATTTTTTATATATATATCAGTTGGCCAATTAATTTCTTTCTATTTATAGTAGAGACGGGGTCTCGCTCTTGCTCAGGCTGGTTTCGAGCTCCTGACCTTGAGCAATCCGCCCGCCTCGGCCTCCCAAGAGCTAGGATTACAGGCGTGAGCCACAGCGCCTGGTGATTCTTAACATTTTTCAGCTAGTATATCACCAAAAAAATTAAAGAAGAAACCAACAGTAATGGGTAAAATATTTCATGCAACTATAGTCTTTTATATACATTCAAAATAATGTGTGGATATTTATGTAAAATATAGTCTTATTGTATGTTAGAAACATTATTTGTAAATTTTTGGTGAAATTAATCAGTAATTTTTTATTTCCCAAATAGCACCATAACTTTCAGGTGTTTGCCACCTGAATACATTTCAGAACCAGTTTTCATGGATCGAGCACTGTATCGCTATGTAGCTGGATTTAATGCCAGTTATTCCTGAATCCTAAAATGTTTGAAGTAGTAAAGTTGTTTCTAGAAAAAAACTATCAAGTTAGATAATTTTTTTCTCATAAAAGCTAATTTTATACTTTTTAAAATGACATAATGCTTAAAAGATCAGATTTTAGAGTCAGAAATGTGGGGGTTAAATATGTTTCACATATATAGATGACTTCAGGCAAATTGCTAAACACTTCTAAGTTTTATCTCCTTATATTTAAAAGAGAAATAATTATACTGTTCCTAGCTCATAGGGCTATTGCAAGGATGAAATGATATAATGCATGCCACTCACTCATTACAGTGCTTGGCACATGTAAGCACATAATTGGTGTTAGTTGATACTACTTTATAATTCAGGTCAAAGTGTAAAGAAGTAAAGAATTCAGTGTTGATTCATTAATTTCTAATGAGTTTACTCCAAGTAATATTAAGAATCTAAAATCAGGTGATGGGGTGACTGTATATTGGGAGAGAAGGGGGAAGAGGTCAGAAAGTATTAAGGTTTAATAAGTATTAAGTATTAATAAGTATTAAGAGGTATTAAGGTTGGGCAGGTATTAAGCCAGGTATTAAGCTTGGGCAAAGGATCAGTGCTGGTGCTAGGCAGGTTACATAGGCAATGTATAGAATGTGTAAGCAGCACAGGGATTAATGTATCCAGTTTGGACTCTGTTGAATTTAGGGTACTTGAAATTTTAGTATGCCAGCATTTTTTTAATTACTAAAATAATGTAAAATTTGAGTAGGTCCTTGTTTGCTTGCACATGTTAACTGCTTGCTTCCTGCCCAACAGCCCTTGTTGCCACAGTAAATGTTAACTGCTGATATACTGTTTCTTTCTCAAGTAGGAGGGGAAGATAACTCCAGGGTTATGAGGGAAATCTATGAGTTTGTTTTGCAGAAGGAATGAATGCCCTTGAGAAAGTTGCAACTAGCTGCTGACGCTCAGAAGTCCGGTTACTCAAGGTGAACAGACTTCCCCCTTCGTTCCCTGAAATTTCTCTTCCCTCACTCTCTAACTGTATTAAAGCTCCCTACTCCATCCTTTTGTTAAGATGGATCTGAAAGATCTTGCTCCCCTGTCTTCCCACCAAATTGAATAAATCTATCCAAGCACAGGTGTCACAGTGTTTGCCTTTAGCTGTGCATGGGGTGCATGAGCCCGAATTTGGGGTTTAACAACACTGTGAGACACCTTTGTGGAGAAAATCAGTGGCATATGGATTTGACTTGTAAACTTAGGAGAAAGTTTTGAACATATGGGTGTCAATGGGAATGGATTACTTTGAGAGAGATAATACAGAGCAAAAGAAGAATAGGAATTTAGGGAATAATGTTTAAAAGGCAAATATAGAAAAAACAGCTCAGGCAAGAAAGTGAGAAGAGGAATCTCTGGTAGGAATGCTTAGGAAAAATCATCCCTTTCTGGTGGCAGGGTGTCAACAGGGCCTGGTAATTTTGACTTTTGAGTTGGCATGCAACTGTGGCTGCTTACTCATTCAGAATTAAGATGAATCATACTGGGCATCCAATTTAAGACATGGATGCCTGAAACAAGTGGATATTTCTTTCTTTTTTTTATTTTTTAAAATTTCAGTATGAGTGTACAAATGTTTAGGTTACATATATTGCGTTTGCCCCACCCGAGTCAGAGCTTCAAGCATGTCTATTCCCCTGACAGTGCACACTGCACCCATTAGGTGTGTATATACCCATCTCCCTCTTCCCTCCCATCTGCCCAACACCCAATGAATGTTACTACTATATGTGCACATAGTGTTGATCAATTAAAATCAATTTGATGGTGAGTACATGTGGAGCTTGTTTTTCCATTCTTGTGATACTTCACTAAGTAGAATGGGTTCCAACTCTACCCAGGACAATACAGGAGGTGCTGTATTGTTTTTTTCAATCTGTATTGTTTTTTCAATCTGTGTTGGCCTTTCTCTTTTGTATATATGGATCTTGCTATCTGATAATGTGCATTCTTGAGAGGACTTTTTTGTCATTAGGTATGTATTTAAGGTATGGTTACCGTTGTTGCCTTTTTTGGGTATATTCTTCCTCCAGATCTCACGTGGCTGGGTCATTTTCATACTACAGGTTTTAGCTCAAATGCCAAGTCCTCTAAATGGTTATCCCTTCCCACTATAGCGAAAGAACCTCTGCCCCCAACCCCGGTTAATCACCACCTCATCACCTTTTTCGTTTCTTTAATTAGAGATTTATCATAATCTGTAATTGTTTGTGTTTTTATGTCTTTATTTCTTACTTGGATGTCTTTTGCCCCAGAATGTAAGCTTCATGGGAGCAGGGACTTTGGCTCTCTTGGTTATGGATGCATAAATAGTGCGTAATGCAGCCTGTCTCCAAGAAAGATCTCAATAAATGTTTAAAAAATGATGGCTAAAAACTAGGGTGAGAGCTGAACATTCTTTCCCCATTTGCACTATAAAAGTATATTTAGTTTTGGTATTTATTCTATCTTTTGAATTTGATTTTAATAAAATCCTCTGTACCAAGATGTTATGAGCACCCTGATTCATTCAAGAATTTTTCCAGTAGTAATGGGGATGTACTATTTGTCACCAAGTACCAAGATTCCACAAAAGGACAAAATTAATAGATGGCACTTCTGGGATATCTCCCTAGTGTATAGAGACATTCATAGGCTTCTTTTCTTCCGGTGTCCCTGATGATGCCTCAGCTGCTTATTGTGGAAGGTGGATTTGTAATAGTGGGGAACAGGGAGTGAGCAAGGTGGAAATATATAAACGTTGGTAATATATTTACTTGTGCTCTGGACTTGAAATGGCACTTTGCCTTCTTCAATGATGCAGGTTGGTAACACAAAATCAGAAAAGATTAACAAAATTCTGCAAGGGGCAGATAGAATTCTTCCTGCAATAGGTTATTCTGGGATTCCTGGATGGGACCAGTAGTGTCGCTAACAATTATACTTTCTGAATTACAAAGTGGAAAACACAGTTTGACAGATTTTGTTCATGTTCTTGTGGGAATGCAAAGACAAAACATTTGAAATTGAAAGTCTTAAAAGCATTCACAGTGTATAGGTGACAAAGATATGCCATCAGTATGTGCAGGATGATATGGAAGCATCGTAGGTAAAATGACTTCTCACCTAGGAAAGTCAGAGAGCTTAGAAGTGCTGTTGAATTCTGGAAATAGGAGTTTGTCTAGCAGAGCACAGAGTGGTGGATATTCCAGAAAGAGGAAATAGCATATGCAAATATGTGAATGTGTGAAAGTACATGACATTTTTAGGGAATGACAATGATTTGGTGAAGGTGTGGAGAGACAGTGACAAGAAATGAAGCTAAAATCATATTAGGATCAGATTTTAAAGGGCTTTATATATCATTTTAAAGAGCTTGGGCTTTAAACTGAAGTTATTAGTGAGCCATTTGAGGTTTTCATAAAGATATATGATCTTAGATCCGTATTTTAGCCAAAATAAATCTGGCAAAAGGTAAATTAGAATGGGGAGAGACTAGACATAGGGAAACCAATTATTAGGCTATTGCAGTAGACTTGGAGAAGAATGATGACAACCTATACAAAGTTAGTAATGATGGAAAGAAGAAAATAAATTGAGGGTTATTAAGAAGATATATACAGTAGGGATAAATCTATATTGAAGAATATGAGAGCCGTGAAGGAAAAGTAGGAATTGAGGATGATTTCATGTTTTCTAACTTGGTTGATGGGGTTGAAGATATAGAATAAAGAGCCAAATTGGGAGCAAGGGGAGAGAAAAACAGGAATTTAGTTTTGGACAGGCTGAATTGGCTTTCTAGGTGAAGATGTAGGATAGGCAGTTGAAAATACAAATATAGGTTTTGGGAGAGAGATCAGGGCTGGAGATAATGATTTTAGATTCATCTAAACTATAGTGGCAATTGAAATCATGAGAGTAATTGAGATCACTCAGGGAAAGTGAATAAATTGAGATGATAAGAGGGCCGAGGTAAGACCCCTAAGTAACAGTAAAATTTGGGAAATGAAATATAGAAGTCAGTCATAGTATAAGATATGCTCATAAATTAATTGGAGCCTAATTTACCTCTTCTTTAGTTTTGGGCTGGGGTTAGTGGCTTATTTACAATAAATAAAATTAAAGCAGAAGTGACTGTACAATTTCAAAGACTAGGGCATGAAAGGTACTGCAGCTTCCTCTCTTTTATCTCTCCCTCATCACTTGATCTGGAAGCTATCTGCCATGTTGTGAAGACACTCAGGCAGTCCATTAAGAGACCCATGTGCTAAGGAACGGATATTTCTAGCTAATAGCCAGTGAGGAACTGAGACATCTGTAAAAAGCTATAGAGAAACTGAGACTTTTTGCCAATAGCCATGTGGGTGAACCATTGTGGAAATGGATCCTCCAGCTGCATTTAAGCCTACAGATCCGCAGTCCCCAGCCCCCGAGCCAAGGACCAGTACTGGTCCATGGACTACTAGGAACTGGGCCCACAGCAGGAGGTGAGTGACAAGTGAGTGAGTAAAGCTTCATCTGGGTTACAACTGCTCCCCATCACTCGCATCACCTCCTGAGCTCCATCTTTTGTCAGATCAGCGTTGGCATTAGATTGTCATAGGACAGCAAGCCCTACTGTAAACTGCACATATGAGGAATATAGGTTGAACACTTTTTATGAGAATCTAATGCCTGATGATCTGAGGTAGAGCTGAGGCAGTGATGCCAGCACTGGAAAGCAGCTGCAAATTACAGATTATCCTTGAAGAGAGGTTTGACTGCACAGAGACCATAAGATATCAAAACTCTATCAGTGAGTGGCAAATGACAATCTGCATCTGGTAGCAGGCTTTATAGTGGCAAGTGCGTTGATGTACTTTAATTGTACCATTGTATCTAATAGCAGGCTTTAAGTCAGAATCTGACACTTATTTTAGTCTGTGCGTGGCCCACCCATTATTTTACTTACTACTTCTGTCCTCACCTCTTGCTGTACTGCACAGTTGTCTCAGTCACAGTTTTGGTAAGCCTACAAGCTAACCCTAGCAAAAATGAGTGAAAAATAAACGTTGCTGGAGAGTTTCTTTGAAAAGGGGGAAAGACCCAGTGATGAGACAGCAAGACTCTAAGACTGCCAACAAAATGAAAACTGAATTTAAAAGAAAAGACCAAGAGTCCTACTTAAATTACGAGTTCATTGCAATAAGTGATTCACATTCTCCAAGCCTGCTTTGTATTATATGTAGTGACCAGCTATCCAATGAAACCATGAAACCTTCAAAACTTCTTTGCCACATGGAGACCAAGCACCCTGCATTAAAAGATTAGCCTTTGGAGTTTTTCAAAAGAAAAGAATACGAATGCAAAGAACAGAAGCAATTATTGAAGGCTACCACTTCATCAAATGTGTTTGCACTGAGAGCCATCATTATCAGTGGCTAACCATGTTGCTAAACTAAAAGCCCTTTACTATTGGTAAAGAGTGGATCCTGCCTGCTACTAAGGATGTTTGCCATGAACTTTTAGGAGAGGCTGCAGTTCAAAAGGCAGCATGTGTTCCTCTTTCAGCTAGCACGATAACTAGATGAATTGATGAAATAGCAAAGGGTATTGAGGCACAATTGTTAGAAAAGATTAATGAGTCACCGTGGTATGCAATCCAGGTTGATGAGTCTACCAATGTTGACATCAAGGCAATGATGCTTGTTTTTGTGTGATATATTTTTCAGGAGGATGTTCATGTTATGAGCAGTTTTGTTGCCAACCAGTACCACAGCTGCAGAACTATTCAAGTCTTTGAATGATTACATATCAGGAAAACTGAATTGGTCATTCCGTGTTGGTATGTGCATGGACAGAATGGCTGCCATGACTAGACGGCTTTCTGGTTTCACTAGTCAGGTAAAGGAGGTTGCTTCTGAATGTGAGTTTACGCACTGTGTCATCCATAGAGAAATTCTGGCTAGCCAAAAAATGTCACTTGAATTGAACAATGTTTTGCTTAAAAGTATCAACCATGTTAAAGTACATGCCCTTAACTCACGTCTGTTTGCGCAGCTTTGTGAGGAGATGGATGCAGAGCACACACGTCTTCACTTCAGAAAGATGGCTTTCTAAAGGTAGATCGCTGGCCAGAGTTTTTGAGTTATGAGAGCAGCTCCAGGGATTTCTTTTAGAAAAACAGTCACCACTGGAAGCACATTTCAGGGACACAGAATGGGTGGCAAAACTTGCTCATATGACATATTCAACCTGCTCAACAAACTCAATCTGTCATTTCAGGGGAGAACAACAACTGTGTCCAAGTCAGCAGATAAAGTGGCTGCATTCAAAACCAAACTGGAATTATGGGGGTGACGAGTGAACCTTGGGATTTTTGACATGTTTCAAATATTAGCAGAGATTTTGAAAGAGACTGAGCCGGGACCTTCTTTCTCCCAGATGGTGCATGATCACCTATCTCAACTTTTACAAGGGTTTGAGCATTACTTTCCAACCACAAAAGACCCCTGAATTGGGAAGGAATGGATCCTCTACCCATTTGTGAATAAGCCAGGCAAATTGACTTTGTCTGTGTTAGAAGAGATTCAGCTGCTTGAGATTGTAAATGACAGTGACCTTAAAAGAATGTTTGAGACAACTTCGAGTCTCCATATATTCTGGATTAAAGTCAAGATAGAATATCCTGAGATTGTCACAAAAGCACTGAAAAGCCTGCTTCCATTTCCAACATCCTATCTTTGTGAAGCAGGGTTTTCTGCAGTGACAGAAACCAAACAAGATTACGGAGTAGATTGGAAATAAGCAACACATTTTAGGTGTCACTGTCCCCCATCACCCCAAGATGGGACCATCTAGTTGGAGGAAAACAAGCTCAGGGCTCCCACTGATTTTCCACCATGGTGAGTTGTATAATTATTTCCATATATATTACAATGTAATAATAGAAATGAAGTACACAATAAATGTAATGTGCTTGAATCATCCCCAATCCCCCATCCATGGAAAAATTGTCTCTGGTCCCTGGTGCCAAAAAGATTGGGGCCACTGCTATAGATAATTGTAGCCCCAGCCAATATCTTGAGATATGAGAGACCATGAGCTAGAAATCCTGTTTCTCCTCCCTCAAGATGCTATAACTGGCTCCCTCATTGAACAAATTTCAATGACCCCCTATATAATCCTCTCCCTTAACTAATTACTTGATTTTTTGAGTTGTTTCCCAGAAATGGTGGCTTTTCTGCAAGACATAGGAGCTGATATTCTCAGGGCCCCTGTGCATACTTCCTGACAAGATTCACCATCTCCTACAACCTACCCCCAGTGCACTGTAGCCCCTTGTTAGTCATAACATGACCTGCCCCAAAGAACATGGGCCCTTCTTTAAAAGCCCATGATCTCCATTAGTCAGAAAGAGGGACTTGAGGCAATTTCTCCTTTCCTCCCAACAAGATATCTGCTGTATTAAAAAATTCCTTTCTTCTTTGGCAATCCTTGTTGTCTCAATAATTGGATCTTTGTTTGATGAGCTCTGGACCCAGACTGAGAACCCCTTGTAGTAATGACAGCAAAGCTCCTGAATTCTTGACCAACAGAAACTTTTAGATAGTTAATGTTGCCACTAAGTTTTAGGGTAATTTGTTACACAGTAATGGAAATCTAACACAAAATCATTGAAGGAAAAAAGACAGAGTTATCAGAGAGGTAGAAGAAAAACAAGAAAAAAGTTGTGTTGAGAAAACCAAGAGTAAAGAGATTTTAGGAGGAGGAATGATGTCAAATACTATAGGCAAAAGATAAAATACAATTAAAAACCCCTTTAGGTCTGGTTTGAAGGATGTTGGTAACTAAATGAGATCAATTTGATTACAACCGATAGTGATGGAAGCCACATTATAATGGGTAGAAAAATCAAATAGGAAGTGGGAACAGTAAATATAAATGACTCAAGGATATTGGCAGTAAAAGTAGATTGTGGGAATGACAAAAGTTAGGAAGGATATCTTCAGGGTAGTGGGAAGCTTGAATGTCTTTATAGAGTAAGAGGTCAAAGGCAGTTTAGATGCAGAAATTATAACAGAATTATTAATAAAGCAAAATAAAGGAGGGTGAAAAAGATAAGATATAGAACACAGGATTCTCCTTGGAAAGGTAGAGGAAGTACAAGTATCTATGAGATGAGAGGAAATGGAGTATGAATGGACAAAAAATATAGGTATTTGGTGTAGAGGTAAGCACCAGTGAGTTTCTTCCAGTATCTTCCAATAGTCCGTTTTTTTTTTTTTTAAAGTAGGCATTAGCTTAAAGTAAGGAGGCAGAGTAGATAGACAGATAACTTATGAACCCATTGGAAACCATTCTGAGCCCTATTTCAGATCAGTCTTTCCCTGCCTGATCTATTTTTCCACAATCCACCTTTTCTCTCCTTTCATCTCCTATTAAGAACTGCTAGAGAAAATCATGCTAATTGGTGTTTTAATATATTTAAATATATCATTTTCTATGTCTTCTTGGGGGAAAGGATTTTTTTTTTAAAGGAACATGCTATCTAACTTCTATCAGAGAAAGAAAATTTTTGTCGCTTTAGTGAGGCCTACAGAATATGGTGGAGGAAGTGACATGTTGATTCACTACTGAATGCCTTATTGAATGTTATAGCCCAATTGTGCAACTTTCTGACTCCTATTTATTACAGAAGATTAATGGCCTACAACCAACTACAATAAACTTGTAATTAAATTGGAAGGAGAATTGGGCTATATTAATTCAAATGTCAAGTGAAAAAATATACACAGCAAATGGTCATTTCCCTTTAGTAAATTGTCTCCTTTTCGCATTGTGAGGTAAAGGTAGCACATACAAATTTGAAAAAGCCATTGTGTGAAAGAAGGCAAAGTAAATACAGCAAATCTTATTTCATGGCTTTGATCAAATTATTAATTTCCTATGGAAATGTAACAGATTCTCCAACTGGAATAAATTTCAGACAAAAAAATTCAAGATAGTTTTTTGACATTTATGTGTGAATCCAAATGTGTAACTCATATTTTATTGCCATGTGTCAAGGCTAGAAATCAAAATACACTTTTTTGTCAGTTAAACAGAAAGTAAATTTCTAAATTGCTATAATCTGAAAAATAGTTTTAGCGACCATGTTGTGATAGCCTTTCTTGTGTTGGGAAATAGGCTAAGAGATGTGAGAAGTTTCAGAAGTTTTGCAGGTCTTTGCCTTGAAGGAATCTGTGGACTTGTTAGTTCACAGAATAGAAGCTGCTTCCAACAAGGGGGACATTGTCAGAGAACGTTTGCAAAGCAATGTTTCTTTTTTGCTGCCGGCAATCACCTTGAGCTTTTCTGCAAGGCAGAAGCTCAGTTTGGGTCCCTGGCTGAGAAGCTGATTAAAATGCCTGCCCAGCAGATACCGTCTAGCTGGAGCTATCCTAGACTTCAAGGGTATTCCTGCTTCACTCCTGACTACACGTCTTTGTATTTAGAAAAAGCAGATTAGAGTAGTACACAGACTCAGTGTTCTCATTTTATACATTTTATCTTTAATTTGTATGCTCAGCTAGATCTGTTTCTAACTTGGGGCTTATTTATAAAAAAAATAAATTTATGTTTTATAATTTTGGAGGCTGAGAAGTTTAAGGTCAAGGGGCTGCATCTAGTGAGGATCTTCTTATGGTACTGGAGTGGAGGGCATTACATTGCAAGAAGGCAAGAGCATGCCAGCTCAGGTCTCTCTGCCTCTTCTTATAAAGCCACCAGTGCCATGACGTGGATCTCATCCTGATTACCTTATCTAATCCTAATAGTTTCCTCAAAGCTCCTCTCCTAAATATCATCAACATGTGAATTGGGGGATTATATTTCTAACCATAAAATTTGGGGGACACATTCAAACCATAGTAATGCCTGAATTTGTCACAGGCTGTGGGATGGAGACCTGCCTCAGATCTTTATGAAGTGAGTCTCTCCATAGGATTGTTACAACATGGCAGGCAGCTGGCTTCCATCAGAGTGAGCAAGTGAGAAAGGAAAAGCAGATGGGCAAGCTGGGTGCCAGGATCTTTTCTAACCTAATCTCATAGTGACAGCCTTCCATTTTTGTCATATTCTATTTGTTAAAAGCAAATCACTAAATCCAGTCTACACTCCAGGGGAAAGGATTAATAAGGCCATGAATACAAAGACTCTCTATGACCATTGAGAGTCATTTCAGAAAGTGCTGATCACACAATCTTTATTAATTAATTTAATAGTAATAAGTTCATAGATTAATGTATGAACTGAATTGCATTCCCCTCTAGTAAATAAGAATGCACTTTTGTTTTTACACATTAACGAAGATTAAACAAATGCTAAGATTTTAGTGCAATCCCTTGACTTGTGTCTGGTATTCCACATAGCATCAAATGCTAGATACTTCAGTGGAAGTATGGCAATAGTAGAGAAAGAAGAAAGAGATGCTAGCAAAAAGGTGAGACAGAAATTTTATAATTTGGCAATTTATTAGTATTTTCTCTTTCTCTGTTTCTATTTCTCTCCCTCTCTCTTATTTTTATTATGAAAACATCCAAAATCTAAAAATAAAAAGATGTCTAAGATCAAAGTACTTAGTATATAAAGTTTAGTAAATGTTAGTTATTATTATTATCATTATTTCTATTCTTCTTTTCCAGAGATTCCTCAATTCTACTTTCTCCTATTAGTATTACCAATCCTGTACTTGAGAAATTGTCTTTGATTCACCTCTGCTGCTAAAGCATTCTTAACAAATTGACTTTTCCAATGCCTCTTAAATTGGTTGACACCTTTCTTTTTTTTCTATTGTGATTTTTACCACCTTTGTTCAAGTTCTTATTACATTATTTTCAAATGATTGCAAATGACGTCCAAAGAGTTTTCCTTTTCTAATCTGTTCTACACAAATTTGATCTTTGCACCCTGCTTAGTCTGGACGTCTATTTTGGGTTGGGAATTGTACAGAAAGTTGCAGCTAGCTGGTATTGAGTTGCCCCTTTTCTGCCAGGAGGTAAGAGGAAGAACTGTATTTACTTCTTGGTTCCCAACACCCCAATGTTGTAGATCAGAGGTTCTCAAATTAAGGTGTGATAATGCAAATGATAGGTGACTGAGACAAGAGTCACAATCAATTGAGGTTTATTAAGCCAAAGTTTGAGGACACATCTGGGAAAACACAAACCACAGAAGCATGTGTGACTTGTGCTCTTGGGAGAGGGATTTGGGAACTCAGTATTTAAGGGGAGAGGGCATACAGAAAAAAAGAAAGGAGGGGAATAGACACTGAGGCACATGATTAAATTCTTTTTTTTTCCTTTTTATTTCATCATATTATGGGGGTACAAATATTGTT